CGGGACGGACCAAGTCACAATCCCCGATGGTGCTCTACCCCACGCCCGTTATCCGGCGTGCAAGTCGCCTCACATAGCACTACGTTGTGCAAATTCGGGGTTTCAAACCCTCAACACAGCATTTACATTTATTACTAACCTCAAGCCGGCCAAAGTCCTAGCTTGCTACGCCCTTGCCTTTCAAATTCACCTCTTCGCGCATCGAATCTGACCAAAACCACAACGAATACGTCACAATATGCTAAGGGAATATAACCCAATCGAAAAGACTCGAAAAATATCGAAAATCACGAAGTTGGCAAAACCCGAGCCCCGGGCCCACTTCTTGAAAAATTATAAAATTCACATCACTGGATTCCTTGTCTCGCCACGAGTCTATACATATCAAATTTACCACAATCGGAGTCCAAATGACCCCTCAAACTCCCAATTTTGTTCTCTTAGGTTTCAAGCCCTAAACCACCATTTTTGACCTTAATTCCTTGAGTTTAAAGTGAAATTTCATGTATTTGCATGATAAAATTGTGTTCCAAGTCCAAGAATGCTTACCTAATCGAAGCCCTTGAATTTCCTCTTCAAAATCGCTCAAGAACACCCCAAGTCCGAAGTAGATATATGTGTTCTGTAAATATTTCGCGAAGGGAATTAAAACCCTTTCTGATCAGTTATTTCCGCTTCTGCGGTCCTTTGTCGCTTCTGCGACTACCGCATCTNACCATCCAAGTAGCATGACGAGCTAGCTGGGAAAACCTCACCTCATACTGAGTCACTGTCATGTCACCCTGTGTCAACCACTCAAACTGCCTACGCAACTCTTCCCTGCGGGACTGAGGTATATACTTCTCCAGAAAAAGAGCTGAGAACTGCTGCCAAGTCAGAGGTGCTGCACCGGCAGGCCTACGCCTCTCAAAGTCCTCCCACCAAGTAAGAGAATCCCCCGTGAATTGAAAAGTAGTAAATGCCACACCACTCGACTCAAGGATCCCTGTCGTACGGAGCATACGCTGGCATCTGTCAAGAAAACTCTGGGCATCCTCGCCCTTAGCACCACCGAATGTCGGAGGCTGGAGTCTACCAAACCTCTCGAGACGACGCTGCTCATCGTCTGGCATAGCTGGAACCACAAAACCCTGAGCTGGTGCAACCTGCTGAGCTGGAGGTGCCTCCGGTGTCTGTAGCCCCTGCACTCCCTGCGCAGGTGTACGGGCATCGGGGGTCTGATTGCCTCCCCCGGTCTGTGAAGTAGCTGCTGCTGCTGTGGTGGCTGAAACTGCTTGAGCCAAACCAGTACAGACCGTCAAGATCTGTGCCAAGGTCTCCTGAAGACCCGGAATCACAATAGGCACAGCTGGTGCCTGAGCAGGTGTTGCTGGAGTCTCCACCGCTGGAGCCTGATCCTGAGCTGGGGCAATCGTAGGATTAGCTGGTACTGCCCCGGCTACTCTACCCTTGCCACGACCATGACCGCGCCCACGGCCCCTGGCGGCCTCAGTAGGTGGCACTGGTGGTCGTCCGTCACGTTCGGTAGCTCGCGTTCTCACCATCTGTGAGAGAATAGAATAACAAAGATTTAGTTCACAGTTCAACAAAGCCGCACGACAAGAGTTTCAAGAATATGGAGTATTTCCTAAAGGTTCTGCAGCCTCTCGAGGATAAATACAGACGTCTCCGTACCGATCCGCGAGACTCTACTAAACCGGCTCATGATTCGCGAGACCAAGTAACCTAGGCTCTGATACCACCTTGTCACGACGCAAACCCCGGTCGTGATGGCGCCCAACACATTGCTAGGCAAGCCCGACCATTTACACAACCTTAGCCAAATAACCTATGTAAATAATTAAATGTTCGCTACCATAATACCAATTTTTGTACGGAAATTTTATTAAGATCTCTAACATTCGAAAATCCCAAGATAAAATACTAAATAGCCCACCGGATCTGGTGTCACGAACATGAGCCTCTAAAACAGATTATCCACCTATTACAAATCCGACTAGGAAAATTACGAATAAAATAATAAAGATAGATGGGAGAGATCAGAGTTGCGAACGCCATGCAGCTACCTTGATACTCCCGGATAATGCTGCTCAGCTAACACGAGTCCTCACTCACCCTGTGGTGTATCTGGATCTGCACACAAGGTGCAGGGAGTATGGTGAGTACTTCCAACTCAGAAAGTAATAAATATAAATAAAGTCTGAGGATCAGAAATCCTAAATAAACACAAAGTAAAGCTATAAATACAACAACGTGGACCAATAGCATAATACGGTAAACATTAAAACAGTTATAATAAAGTCACACCAGAAGGAGAATAAATAACAAGTAAATATGCAATGCAACACATAAACTGGTACCTCCAGTACCCCGCTGCGGCCGTGTAGCCCGCTCCATTTATTTAACGTCGACGGCGCTCGCTGGGGGTGTGCAGACTCCGGGAGGGGCCCCTTACGACCCAAGCGCAATAATAAGCCATCTCGTGGCATCAAACCGGCCCTTGGCCTCATATCAATATCATTATAATACTGCTGCGGCGTGCAGCCCGATCCCATACTCAGTCCAAAAATCACATAAGCCTTTCGGCACAATAGTATAAAAAAAATATTCAGCCCAAACTTCATTTTAACATATTAACTTAATTTCTAATTTAAGAAAAAGGCTGAGTTTGCAAACACAGTATTAAATACCAGGACTGAGTTTAATATTTATGAATATGGTAAGAAATTATTAAAACAATCCCTGAAGGATTCAAGTAGTTGGCACAAGGCCCCATGATAACAATTTAATCCATTTTTTTAAGGATATCACGAAACTACAACAAATAGGTAGTGATTTTTATTAAACGGGATGGACCAAGTCACAATCCCCGACGGTGCTCTACCCCACGCCCGTTATCCGGCGTGCAAGTCACCTCACATAGCACTACGTTGTGCAAATTCGGGTTTTCAAACCCTCAACACAGCATTTACATTTATTATTAACCTCAAGCCGACCAAAGTCCTAGCTTGCTATGCCCTTGCCTTTCGAATTCACCTCTTCGCGCGTCGAATCTGACCAAAACCACAACGAATACGTCACAATATGCTAAGGGAATATAACCCAATCGAAAAGACTCGAAAAACATCGAAAATCACGAAGTTGGCAAAACCCGAGCCCCGGGACTACTTCTCGAAAAATTATAAATTTTACATCACCGGATTCCTTATCTCGCCGCGAGTCTATACATATAAATAACACCAAAATTGGAGTCCAAATGACCCCTCAAATTCCCATTTTTGTTCTCTTAGGTTTCAAGCCCTAGACCACCATTTTTGACCTTAAATCCTTAAGTTTTCAGTCTAATTTTCATGTGTTTGCACCATAAAATCGTGTTTTTGGTTTAGAAATTCTTACCTCAATGAAGTCCCTTGATTCCTCTCCTCCAACTCGCCCAAATTCTCCAAGTCCGAAGTGAAAATATGAAACCCTTTCAAAAATTCGCGAAGGGAAATAAAAACATTCTGACCAGTTATTTCCGCATCTGCGGCTCCATGGCCGCATCTGCGGCTCCCGCTTTTGCGGTCAATGCACCGCTTCTGCGGACATATCCGCTTCTGCGGTTTAACATCCGCTCCTGCGCCTCCCGCTTCTGCGGACAAATTAACGCATCTGCGGATCCCCATAAGAGCTCAAATACCGCATCTGCGGTCCTCCTGTCGCATCTGCGACTCCGCAGATGCGGTCACCAATTCCGCACCTGCGGTCCCTGCCGCTTCTGCGTCTCTCCTCTCGCTTCTGCGGTACCGCTTCTGCTGTCCCAATGCCGCAGAAGCGAGAATACCAGAAGCAGCACAGGTTCTGCAAATCTCTTAAGTTCAAAACTTCCCGTTAGCCATCCGAAATCACCCCGAGGCCCTCGGGACCTCAACCAAAAATACAAGCATGATCCAATACCTTATTCAAACTTGCTCCAATCATTAGAACACCTCAAACAACACTAAAACCATCATTTCTCATCGAATTCAAGCCTAAGTTCTTCTAAAACTTCCGAAACACGCATTCGATCAGAAACCCAACCAAAACACCTCCGAATGACCTGAAATTTTGCACACACATCCAAAATCACCTAACGAAGCTACTGCAACTCTCGGAATCTCATTCCGACCCCCGGATCAAAATCTCACCTACCAACCGGAATTCGCCAAAATACTAACTTCGCCAATTCAAGCCTAATTCTACACCGAACCTCCAAAATCAATTCCGATCACACTCCTAAGTCACAAATCATCCCCCGAAGCTAACCAAATAACCGGAATTCAAATCCGAGCCCTCTAACACAAAAGTCAACATCTGGTTGACTTTTCCAACTTAAGCCTTCTTAAAAGAGACTAAGTGTCTCATTTCTTATCAAAACCATTCCAAACCAACTCTAACACATCAAATACTGATAATGAAACATGAAGAAGCATAACATGGGGGAAACGGGGCGGTTACTCACGTGACGACGGGTCGGGTCGTCACACCCGGCCCCCAGGCCCACGTCTCGGAATCCGACAAAAATTACAAAACTAGGAACTCATTTCACTCCCGAGTCTATACATACTAAAATCATCAAAATACAACCTCAAATGGTCCTTCAAATCCTCAATCAAGACTCTCCAAAACCCAAGCCCTAAACCCTCAATTTCACCCCTAATTCTCACTAGTACCATCATTAAACAATGGGAAAATCATCATAAACACAAGTAATAAAGCTTAAGTAACTTACCCTACTGAAAATCCTTGTTTCCTCTTGAAAATCACTGCCCAAAGCTCAAATCTCGGCCAAAAATGGTGAAGAATGACCAACAATTCGTGAAGGAGCCTTTATATACATTCTGCCCAGCACTTCCGTATCTGCGGCCAATTTCACGTACCTGCGGGACCGCACCTGCGGTCCAAACGCCGCATCTACGCCTTTCACTTAAATCTCCTGCTTCCGCACCTACGCCCTAGGCCTCGCACCTGCGGGCTCGCAGATGCGTCCAACATCCGCTCATGGTCCTTCTCCGCTTCTCCAGTCCGTTTCCACTTCTACAGACCTCGCACCCGCGGTCCCTAATCCGCAGGTGCGGAAGTGACAGAAGCAACAGCTTCAGCTGCTCAAACCAACTTCCAACCTTTCCGATAACCATCTGAATTCATCCTAAGGACCTCGGGACCTCAACCAACAATACCAACAAGTCACATATCACCATTCAAACTTATTCCAACCTTCAGAACCCTCAAAACAACATCAGAAACACCAAATCACCCTCGGATTCAAGCCTAAGGATTTCCAACTTCCGAATTCCGCAACCGACGCCAAAACCTATCAAACCTCATCCTAATGACCTGAAATTTTTCACATATGTCACGAATGACACAAAGGACCTACTCCAATTTACAATTCCATTCCAACCCCGATATTAAAATTTCCACAGCCGACCGGAAAATGCCAAATTTCCAATTTCGCCAATTCAAGCCTAAATCTAACACGGACCTCCAAATTACATTCCGAACACGCTTCTAAGTCCAAAATCATCTAACGGAGCTAACCAAATCATAAAAATCCAAATCCAAGATCGAATACTAAAAAGTCAAAACTTGGTCAAACCTTTCAAATTTAAGCTTCAAGCTGAGAATCATTCTTCCATATCTGTTCCGATTATCCTGAAAACCAAAACGGATGATTTACATAATTCATAATACATTAGGCGGGGCTAGCCATGCTCGAGAACTGGCGAGCGAAGTGCAAATGGTCAAAATGGCCGGTCGGGTCGTTACACTTATGAGCTTGCTTTGCCTCCCAGCCTATCAGGGGTTCATCCGGTTTTTCACGTGTCTATACTCCGGAGGTATCACTCCAACTTTTCGCATGCGTTAGACTTCATCACTATTCAGCTGATAAGAGCATGGGTCATGAGGAGGAGCCAGTTGCCATTGTTGTTAGACAGGATCGTGAGTTGAGATCCAAGAGGATTTCCGCGGTAAAGGTTCAGTGGAGGGGCCAACCAATCAAGGAGGCGACCTGGGAGTCTGAGGAAGACATTCGGAGCAGATATCCACACTTATTCAGCACTTCAAGTATGAATCTAAACCCGTTCGAGGACGAATGTTTGTTTAAGAGGTGGAGAATGCAACGACCCGACCAGTCATTTTGCCTTCTAGAACCCCGTTCCCCTAAATAAGACTTTCTGTACATGCTTTTACTATTTTATGACTTGCGGGGATGCTTAGTTCTGGATTTGGACGGGTTCGGGTTGAAATCGGAGCACTTGGTTCCTTAAGGTTGACTTAAAAGGCCAAGTTTGATTACGGTTAATTTTTTGAGTAAACGATCTCGGAATTGGGATTTGACGGTTCCAATAGGTTGCTATGATGATTTTGGACTTGGGCGTATATGATGATTTTGGACTTGGGCGTATGTTCGGAGCGGGTTTTGGATGACCTGGGAGCGTTTCGGCGCCTAATAGTGAAAGTTGGCATTTTGAGCAAATTCCATAAGTTTGGGTTGAAATGTATTTTTTACATTCTAGACGTCCGTTTGGGATTCCGAGCCTAGGAATAGATCTGTATGGTGATTCTGGACTTAGGAGCGTGTCCAGAAGTGGATTCGGAGGTCCGTAGGTCGTTTCGAAGTTATTTGGCAAAAGTTAGAAACTTGAAGTTTTTGGAAAGTTTGACCAAGGGTGGACTTTCTGATATCGGGTTCGGATTCCAGTTCCAGAAGTTGGAGTAGGTTTGTAATGTCATTTAAGACTTGCACACAAAGTTTGGCGTCATTCCAAGTTGATTTGATAGGAATCGGACACGCAGAAGTGTTTTAGAAGTTTTTGGAGTTCATGAGTAAATGCATGCATTTTGGCATCCAATTCGTGGTTTTTGATGTTATTTCAGTGTTCCGATCGCGCGGGAAAGTTTTTATGATGTTGCTAGACTTGTGTGGGTGATCGGTGTGGAGCCCCGAGGGCTCGGGTGAGTTTCGGACGTTCGAAAGGGATGAAAAAGACACCAAATTTCTGGTGTTTCTTGGTATCAGTTGCAGGTCTCGCAAATGCGAGAAATAGTTCGCAAATGCAAACCTCGCATTTGCGAGAAGAGCTTCGCAATCGCGAAGAAGCTCGAATGGAGCATTGTTCGCATTTGCGACACCTGAGCCACATTTGCGACCTTATGAGTGATCGCAGTTGCGAGTGTTTTGTCGCATTTGCGAACCTGGTGTCGCAAATGCAACATCAGAGTCCTGTGCCCAACTCTTTTAATGCGGGACTTAGGCCGTTTATGTCATTCCATTTCATCTCTTGGGCGATTTTTGGAGCTTTTGGAAGAGGTTTTTCACCTAGCACTTTGAGGTAAGTAATTTCTACACAACATGAGTTAAATACATAGATTATGGGTAGATTAACATGTAAAAATTAGTGAAAATCAAGGGTTCAGATGAAAAGTTAGATTTTTGATAAAAATGAGATTTGTCCACGAAATTGGTTATGGAACTTAGTAAAAATCATATATATATATATATATATATATATATATATATATATATATATATATATATATATATATATGTTTC